CAGACAGACAGAGAGACAAGCTTTATCTATAAGAATTATAAAAGACTTTAAGAAGTTTTAAACGATTTACATACCTCTGATTTACAACTAAACTCTTGATTATTTTGTTTCTTTCCTAAATGTCCTACATGCTTTGGGTAAATCATGTACTAAAACATTAAAACGGAAACAGTCCTCTAAAAGTAAGAGATTGAGTTCACTTAATTGTTTCTGCTTCTTTCAGATTTTTGACATGCATTAAAGAAGAATGATCGAAATTTTAAGGCCCACGCCATTATTGTGAATAATGTAGATTCGTTGTAATGAAACAAATCGGCGTTTTTTAAATTTCAAGCTCACTTTTTGTATATTTTAATGTTTCAAATCAAATAATGTTCAAGTAATAAAAGGAAATAAATGTAAATTTTAAGCGTATTGAATTAGGTGAAAATGTCATACATTTAAATATACACTTTATGCCGCCTGTTTTCTCCCAATGAAAAATATACTGTACAGTGTCTTAAATTACAAGAGTTAAAATAACAGGTGTAGTTTGCAATTGTTAATAAAACTTGATCATTCTTTGTTTGAACGGATTTTGTAACAGGTACGTCTCTATAAGTAAATGAAACAGCTAAATTTTATGTTTATGCCCATTTTAATTTCACAACAATGTAAAATGATTTTGAATTTAACTTTTTAAAACTTTAAGCTATTTTTATATGTTTAGCAAAGCTTTAAACGCTATGCATGTCAGTGATTTGCGGCTTTGTGATTTTAAGCGGCAGGCCTCCATGGGCATTTAACATTAGGAAAAGTTCTTATTTGAAAAAAGCCATGAAAAATAATGTACAAAAAGTAATTCTTTAAACATAGCATCTGATTCAAAACTTTTTCTTTTTGTTTTTAAGCAGACGTATTTTACAAACTTTCTCAGTTCAACAATCGAGCTTTTCAATTCTATCAATATACATTTACTATTTAATTCAAGTAAGATCACGTGACACATTTTCCGTGCTTTCTGAACTCAGTGAACTACATTTATGGTTCTCCTGTAAAATTAAACAATTTGTAGACCAGCGGACCATAAAATGAGCCGCGTCACGACAAATTCAACATATTGGGTTTGCGACCAACATGGATCCCAGAAGTGAAGAATTTTAACACACAATTATAGGTTGAATTTGCCAAGATCGACGAGAAAATAGTAAATAAAAAAAACACACACACGCACACACAAAACACTAGACGATCATTAAATTATAACAATTGTAAACGTGAAAGATATTTCTGGTCCTGTTACAAATCATTAACCAATTAATTGTAAATTTCTGGTTGAACATGTATAAAACGTAAGCTCGAAATTTAAAACTGCATGTTTTGTTTGACAGTCACAATTATATACACTTTATTGAGAAGTTCAATGCGAAATCGCGCGTTGATAATCTTTTATTCTTTACAACCAATTAATCAATTCTGTGTTTATAATTTTATTTTCCAAATCATCAAAATTTATATATCGATTTGAAGAATCATAAAAAAGATTTTTTATGAAAAAGCGACATATCTGCATTAACTGAATTATATATTATTGACATAATTAGATTGATAGATATTCACTAAATAAAACCTAATACAAGAAATTTAGATTAATTAAGATGCATACGACATTTAACTTAAAAGGGTCCTGTTAGGGAGTCCAATGAAATAATATGACAATAATCCGATGAATATTATCATAAGTCTTTTCATGAGCAGCTCCAAGCATGCAGAGGTTGTTTGAAGATGTGCTTCAAATTTTTGTCGATTTATATGTAATATTGTCGGAACGGAAATCATAAGACTTTAATTAGCACATTATGTATATTTCGAAAATAGAGAACAACGGAATCCGTTATGATCTCCAAAAACGACGAAATTGAAAATGTTCAGATGAGCTTGTTCACGGAAAACGTAAGAATAAAATACGGAAGTCATTAATTAAATATTTTTTATGTTCAGGGTATTTAGAACAATGTGAACTGACACCAAAATAACGATTACAAAGATATTATTTCAACCGTTTAAAAAAACAAAAAAGAACTTCCTGTTTATTCACTGACGAAGAACATATTTGTTCGAAATCGATTTGAATAAAAAATAATTGAGTGTACGCGTTTGGTTGATCTTTTTGGAATCATATTTCAACCGATTGTAATTGTTGATAATATAATATCAATAGATAATATCAATAGAAAGTAAATATTAAAAAAAAAAAGAAAAATGGACATACTGAGTTTATATTAAACTGAAAGATTTTTAGAATACTGCAAATAAATAATTGTTCCACGTTAACGAAATATAATAGAACAGAGATCATTATGTCGTTATTTAATGTAGAGGTAATTTCAATACGTTTGTAGGCAAAATATCAAAATTGACGTCTGACAATGGAAGACTCCAGTAAAAAAGGGAGTGTAACACGTAATAATGCTTCTATTAGATGTGACAAGCACACTAAAAAGTTTATCAAATTCTACTGCAGTCGTCACGATCAAGTTGGCTGTGATGACTGTATGATACTTCATCATAAACCATGCAGAATAGAACTTATTCCTGACACAGTAAATGACTATAGGGACAGTGAACTATTTAAACATTTAACGAGAGATGTTGATGAAATCAATAGTGAGGCAACAAAAATGCTGACATATATCAAAACCAGCAGAGATCAAATAAAAATTATCAACAGTAAGTTCAAGCGTGATGTAACTTTATTCAAAGATCAACTTATGGCACACATCACAAATTTGGCAAACGCAATGTTGAAGTTAGGAGACGACATCATGGCGGAAGACATGAAAGTCATTGAACAATTAGAAAAGGAAAATACAAGTTTGCTTACTGAAACGGCTACCTTAGGTGACACTTTACGGTCGCTCTCAGATCAACCGTTCAAAGATCTTATTCAACACAAGAAAAGACTACAGGAACTTCAACATGAACTTGAAAATATCAGAATAAACAACAATGCCAACACTTACGTGTTTGAGCGTGATTCTGACATGGAACGATTTGTAAAAGACCGTAAACAGCTCGGACATTTAAGGAACAACACACAGAAGAGTAAAAAAGGTAGAAAAAACATCTTTTGTATATATAGCATAGTAAAATATTAAAACTTATATAAAAGTAGTTATATGATATATTGCTAGTTTTCTTTCAAGTCTGCTAAAGGAAATATAAAATCTGTTAAAGTAAAAATTATAATACCGTTTTTTCAGATCGTTCAATATAACTTTCAAATTAGATTTTTGCAGTAAAACATGGCAATTTTATAGAAAGTTAATATACGTACTTATATGTAGAAATATCTTATAAAATGTAATTTTCTAATAAGTCTTTTTATGACACAGAAACCAGCACAATGACAAGTTTACCTTGGTTTAAACGTCAGGTATACGTAAGTTTTGTTCATTTCACTTCAATATCGATTGACGTATATTTTGAATATGCTAACGTATAATATTTATTAACAGTTTTCATTGATCTTTATGTTTCTTTTTATTCTATTTCATATTTATTTATTTATTTTTTCATTCATTTATTTATTTATTTATTTATAAAAATATTTATTGATATATCTATTTTTATAAGATTTTCATTGTTTTCTTAGTTTCTTGTAATGATAACATTTAGTAAACGTTTGAAATTAATAAATTTTATTTTTGTTTAGTTGTGCCAGCTTTAGTTCTTAATAAAACAAATACTTTCAGGACGTTAACATCGAATAATAAATTTTATTGTTGCAGTCTTTGTTGGACGGTGAGAGTAAAAATCTCGAAATTGACGGAGTCCAGATCAGGTACTTTTACAAATAAATCAGATTGTGATTCAATGGTGTCAATAAGATTGATAATTGTAACTGTTTTACCACTAATTTACTAATATTTTATCACATATATTCATGTTTACTTTCTGTTATTTTTGCTCACGATAATATGCGTTTGTATTATATATGGTAATCTCAAATCGTCAGTTATCAAATTATATTATAACTCGTACTTAGTATTGTTTTGTAGATCAAATTCAGGTTAAAATTATTTCTCGATATAAATATCATACCAAACATTATGTATATATCATGTAGTTATAAGATTATCCTCATTATTCCTTAGGTACATTAGTACTCACTGCTAAAATTGATTGATAGCAAAATAGAAACATTGACATCCTATGACTGATGATGTTTCATTTCATTCTTGGGTTCAACAACTTCTTAATACAGTGGTTAAACGTTATCTAAAAGATGACTTATTCATTCATTGCAGCATCTAATGAATTAGAATGGCAAATATCTTTTTAAATGTCAGTTTATTCCCAGATTCAAAATTTTTAAAGACGAAGCTGGGGACTGACATTTTGATTACAGTATGATTGATTTAGTTTTAAAATTGTATACGCGATTACACTCGTGCTGACGATTCGGTGAAATAAATCAAATTTGTAGATGAATATTTCGTTAATTGCTCAAGTGAAGACTTCCTTGTTTGAGAATTTTAGATGGGGTCGGTTTCTGCAAAGCAGGTACACAAGGAATTAATTTGAGGTGATCTACCTATATAAACAAAGTAAACATGCATTTTTTTGAAAGCTGTAAACTTACATTTCCTATTTACATTTCGTTTGGAGTGAACTAAAATAAATGCATGTACAGAAATATATGTTACTTTCGGGTACATGTATTAAAGGTTGAAACTGAATATCTCGACATTTTTTGAGATAACTACTTAAATAAAAGGGTTAACCAGGTGAAAAAACTCTGCAAACTTTGCAAAATGTAACTTTAGAACTTTTGATATTGCATTAATTGATGGTAATGAACATGTAAACGTTTACGTTTAAATTGAACAGCTTTGGTAGTTTCTGAGAAAATTGACTTTTCATTTGACCTTACCTGAAGCACCATCCTTAAAGTATCATTAAACAAATTACAAAAAGCTTGCTTAAACTTGTCAATTTGAATTTCTGATATTGTTTTTAGTTATAGTGGTAATGAATCTTCTGGAGACATTGGGTCCTTTGTCCGCAGGAAGCAATATGTTGGATTAACAGAGAACTTTGAAATAGAGATATTAAGTTTGGATAAACGTGGATCTATAGGTAAAATCATACTGTAATGTATTATATTTTATATTTATATTTTTAACCCGGTAAATTGGGGTTTGTCTGCAGGCGGGCGTAATTTCTTCTGTGCGCATCTCCGCCTTCATTATGTATTGATTATAATGAGGGGATCTCACAAAATTATCATAGAATCTTTGTCTGCCAGTGCACCCTGGCGCATCTTGTTGGTGTTTTGCAATTTAAACATTTTCACAGAATTTCGACCCTTTGATATTTAAGTTGAAATAAAAAAAATAAAGAGAGAATTACACTTCTTTCTTAAAATTCTACTTAACTTTCCAAGTAATTTAGACTTACCTTTCACTATGCACTTTCGCGTTTAGCGATACTAACATTTATGGAGGAATTATGGCCCTTTGTACTGAAACATCACCATTGAATGCGCTAGCGCAGATTGTCGGTGTTTTGCGAACTGTTTGGAAAAATAATGACCATTTTGAGAAATAATGTGTATGCGAATCCTCTTTAATCTTAGAAACCACTTTAGCTTAGACATTGAAATTACATTTAAATTTTATACATATTGTACACATTTTATACCTTTGTTATACATAATATAATATAAGTGTACAAACTACATAACTCTGACCGACATTTTGACCAAGTTGTTGCATTTTTTTGATCAGCCTAGACATTTTTGTCACGGGCAATTATATACAATAGGTGTAAATAATTGTCAGGTGTTAGCTTTTATTTCTGATAGATTAAGCTATACAAAATGTTCTATTGTAGGAATCGTATGGTATAAAAGGTTCTTTCTGCGATCTTGTTATCAAATTTTGCTTAGTCTAGACGTAATTGTTAAATATATATGGCGTCTCCAATTTCATTCGAAATCCACATGAAGTCTAATCTTTTTATGCACAGTATGGTTATAGAATTGCATTGTGCGTGTGTAATTCTTGCTGAATATATTTTTTCCATTAAATGTTCCAGTTTATTAAATTAAAATCATCAGTTTCTAAGAATCATTATATAAAATACTCAATAAACAAAGATAATGTTATATAGATAATATAAAAAATATAAATTTATATAAATTTCCGCAAGCAATACTGTGCAAAAAGTTATTTTATTGATCATAAAAACGTGCCATTTGGCATGTTTACAAAAATTTTAGACGGATATGCAAATGTCCTGAAGTTCATGAATATACAAAGTCATCTTTGACAATATTTGATTTTAACTTATGAAATTCACAATTTGAGCATAATTAATGCACAAACTTAACTGCACCTATTCAACACCAAAACATTAATATTTTACCTTCAAAATTCATGATTATGAACTAATCAGATGCAAAGCGATTTTTCTATATTCCCTACACGATTTCACAACTTCATTTCTATGACTTTAACTTTATGAATTGACCATTGCAACTTCACGAGTTTATATGGTGTTGAAATCTTGAAGTAACGAAGACGAAATTGCATAATGATAGAATTGAAATCGTGAATTCGTACAGTAAAATTATAATTTCATGAATCAAGTTGAGTTTTTATCGTGAAAATTTGAAACCGTGCATTTATGAATTAACATTCGTATTAAAATAGTGTTGATTAACACCCATTCATCTTAATCAAATGTAAAGTCACCAATGATAAATTATTTGTTAATTAGTCATACACGCAAACTCTTCATTCACTTCCAAATTCTTTGATATAGTTACTTGATAAATCACACACGGAATCTTATAATATCATGAAACTTATATCTTTAAAGAAACAATTATATTTATTTTATGCCTGTCTTACATTTTAGCAATCGGAGTAGTACCAAAAAATAATCCAGAAAGAGGTCTACCGGGATATGTTACGAACTCTATAGGATATCATTCCGATGGCAAGTAGGTGATTACACTTCTATTGAAAAAGAAAAACAAGACACATTTTTATTAAAAATGAATAATCACGAACATAAAATGAAACAAATTGATTGTTTTGAATACAGCATTTGAACTATTCATTTATGTATGGATGAGAAATACAGAGGTCATTATGATTTAAAACAAAATATTTATGTTACTCTGATTGGTATCTTGAATCGGGCTTTCTGTAAGAATTCTATATTTCTCTATTTGGAAGTTCAATAGTGTCCATTTTTTGCACCGATTTTCTGATTTTTCCATGCATTGATCTAGACGTGTGGAATGTGTTCTCTAGTTCTTTTATGTCTTTTAATTAACAATAATAGATTTATATATGTGAGATAAATATGTTGCATGCAAGTTAAACTGTGATTTCAAGGATTTCGATTTTATAATCAAATTATGAATTTACTTAGACGTAAATGATGTCAGCAAGAGCTTGATTGCAAGAAGTAAGTGTCGATCCATTTGTAATAGCGTACTGTTGACCCTTCTCGCTTTTTATTGGCACCACCATAATGCGTTTCCTGCATTGTAGTTTGTCAAAATTAGACTTTTGCCCAGTTCCATGTATCCTATAGGTTGAAAAAGTGACACGAATAATATTATAATTCTACCGTCAGCAAAATAAGGCGTGAATGTTTGTTTAGCAATACCTACTTCAAAGCGTAAAGTGTCTGAAATCAAATGTTCTTGAAGCAATGTTTGTTACACTTTGGAGAAACACCCATTTTAGCTTATTCTTGCAGCGATAGTAAATGTGTTTGAATCTTTAGGGAATTTGAGACGGATTTCAATACCACTTGAACAAAACAAATCTCAACGAAATAGGACTTTTTTTCTCCAACAGATTTCACTTAATGAAGCATTCATTTAAGTGTACATGTATAGATGGCGTCAGATGTGGCTTAATATTGGCCCGATCATGCTGACATTTTCAAAAGATACAGATCATACAGATGATAGGTCTCGTATGACATTCAATTTATTATTGAACTTGACAACAAAAAACAAAAATTCAATGCACATGGTCAATAAATGTGGAAGTACGTGTAAACGCAATGTTGCAAAATAATGAAGATGTTAATGATAGGTAACACCGTGTATGCCCAACTCAGACAGATAGCCTTGTTGCATACATGTTATAAAACATTTTTACTTATTTTAGGAAAGATTTCCCAATCTTGAGCAATCGTTTGTCATGTATGCGAACTTAACCAGGAAATTCAGATAATTTTTTGTAAGTAAAATCGTGTACATTGATGGTAATCTGGGTAATCTGATCTCTGCTTTGTACCAAGTTCTATAGACTAAGTTATTTTTACTGACATATGCTAAAACGTACCAAACATGTTGCAGAAAGGTGCAGCAGACAACATAACAAAAGCGACAACACTTCTTCTACATGTTAACGGCAATAATGTAATTGAAGCTTCACAAAAGTCATTAGACTTAAATGTGATTGACGAATGACGAGTGCAAAGTCTCACAGACATTTGCCAAGTTTAAAACTTTTCAAGAGTGGGCAAGTACACATATATATGCACAAGTTTGTTAAATCCATCTCCTCTCTGGTGGGCATACGTGGTATAAGAATAATCACCAATACTGGCTTTTTGCTTGACGGCGTTTTGTTCAGGTATTCAACCTATCGCTGCTCTATGTACTGCTCTAGCTTTTAGCGTGAGAAGTGTCGAAAAATCCTGAAAAGGATTGTGACCCGATAGTTATGAAAACAGCAATAATCAGATTTTGTTTGATTGAGTCTGTTGCAAGTTATGTTGCTATAAGTCTCTTGATATATTGAAAATGTCTTCCTATTAACAACTGACTTTATGATTGTTGGTGTTATGCTTTCTTTGTGAAGAATGAAAAAAAAACTTGGATTAAATATTAGTTTTGTAAATAGGACTGTCCAAAACATATGCTGTCCAAAACATATGCGTTTCTTACCATGATTATTTTAATATTTATCCATATAACCATAAGAAAATGTCTTTGACATATCCATTACGTCGTTATGTGTGGACATATGTATATGTATCAGACAAAGGACCACTATTGTTCTCATTGTCCAAGTGTCTTTACAAAATGAAACACGCTTGAATATTTTTCTTTGTCTTGAAGCTGTCATTTAGCCATTTCGCATTCGTATCATTAATTATATGTACTTGTCTTATTTAGTATGTTTGGCTGATAAATCAGACTACTGACAAAACATTTGAATAAGTCAAGAATATACTAATCAAAATATTTTTTTTATTTTAAGATTATACGAAAAAGGAAAATTTATCAGATCAATACGAGCATGGCAAGCAGGCGATCGTGTAAGATGTCGCAGATTTGTTGAGTAAGTTGATTATTTATTGCACCTTAATTACAGTAAACGAATTACAATTAACGATCATTTGAAAAGGATAAATAATCATTCAAGAAGGATTACAAATACCATCAAACTATCAAATAGAAGCAGCAGTTATATGAATATAAATAAGAAGTTCTTCCCTGTAAAATTTACAGGAAGTCAAACCGATCTCAGACTCAAGATTTATTCTATCTAAATCTCAGTTGTAAACGTTTTTTAATTTAAAGTACTAAATTTATGCACAAACGGGAAAGGTTTCAAAGTTATGGACAGTTTTCATTTTTATCGAATATCAATCAGTAAAATGTAATGTCGTCAATTTTTATAGAATAAAATATTCATAATTTAATGCATATATAGATATATAGATTACATGAATGTTTTAAAATGTATAATGTATTTAACATCTGTTTATTTTTTCAGTGATCATAAAACGTATGTATACTTGAAGAAAATATTCATAAGATTATTTTTATGACTTTTAAAGAAATATATCTATTTTAACAAATACTGGATACAAGTTACGAGATTTAATTCTCAACCGTCTGCCCCCATCAGTCAATCACTTTAGGACTTTGATAACCTTTTCAAGATGGCGGCTGTGCAGTAAACATTCAGAAAAGTCTAAAAATACTAAGCCAGTGCTAGGGGACGATGAGGCTTACTTACACTTTCCAGTACCTCAGTGAACGGACTCAATCCAACTGGGCTATCAACATTTTCAGTTTTGTCGCTCCTTTTGGATTTCAGTTTTCTATTTAGCTTTATTGTTGAAATTTTACTTATTTAAAGGACAAGTTTAGTTTTACTTTCATTTTATAAAATATAACTTTCCATACCGGTTTCTCTTAACCTAAATCTATTAACAGCTCAATCTATAACAACTTTTGCATGCAGATGTTTACTTATATTTGCACTGTATATTGCATACACGTATGTGGTGCCTCTCTCATGATAAACCGTTAGAAAAAAAACTAAATATCTCTATACTTATAAAGAGAACTTATCACAATTCTCGACATGATTTTTTGTTCAATAACCCATAACAAATTTATAACGCTACTTTCATTTAAGGTAGACGATTACTTTGCTTTTACCGATAACCATTTTGCGCTGTTGTATTTACTAGTAATTAATTTCCATGGTATTATGACGTTTCAATCGACCCTTAGAAATGTATGCAGTGCACACCTGTGGTGTTACACACTATCTTTGTCACCATTTGTTATATTTTACACATGCATAAAACTTCGCTTGTATATGTACATATTGAACGCTATAGCTGCCTCATGATGTTACATGTCTTTTTATCTTGCCTAGAAAGCGTCTTATTATGTCAAATATAAGTGTTGTGTAGTATTTTGTCGACTTGTCTACTCATTGCCTTACTATGTTTATCTACAAAATGTGATGACTTGTAAAAACAGTGTTTAATGTTTTCAACAGTAGTGTTATCATGTCTAAATTTCATTTTGGCTTCTCTAAAATGTGTCATATTATGTCTACTAGTTGCGCTATTTTTTCAAATTGGTGAGCTGATTTGTCAAAAGACTATCTGATCATTTGAAACAGTAGTGTTCTCTTATTTTGGTGTTGACTTGTGATAGTGATCAAACTGCTATGTTATTTTATCATCATATTACGGTGTTTAAATGTTTTAACATTGTCTTATTGTGCAGAACTCAAGAGTTGATTAGCCCACATAGACTATTGACTTGTCTGATAATGTCAAATATTTGCATTGTCTTGCCGAAGGGCTGTTGACTTGAGTAAATCATGCCTTATTATGATAAACTGTATGCTATTTTATTAAAATAGCGGATTTGACTCGTTAAAACTCAGTCTTCTAATTAGGAAATAGATATCAATTTTGAGGGCATTGTTGTAGAATAATGCACGTTTTGAGTTCAAACGCGCAGTAATATAATCACGAAGGCCGATAGGCCTGAGTGATTAATTACAAAGCATTTGAACGAAAAACGTGCATTATTATACAATAATGCACGAAGAATTAATATCTATTTCCATTCTTACACGTCAAGAAAAATATAATTATTATTATTATAAAGTTGGACATTATGTTTGTAGGTTAAATTTGTTTTCGCATCAGAGTCTCCAATAGAAATGTTTTTTAAAGGCTATTCCAGTGGGTTGAAAAAAAACTGTCGTTAAATCGACCGTGTGTAGAAACATTTTGAGAATAACGAATTTGAAAACGTTGATAAAACTTTGTTTATTTATGTTATTTCACTCTATTATGTTTCAAGCGAAATACAAATTATCAAAAGTGAAATAAATGTAAACTTTAACTCGTTTGCGACATTAAAAATAGCATTATTGACTTGATTGTTTTGCACGTGCTGTTTGGCGCTACATTGTGACTTCACGTAAATAACACTTTAAACGTCTATACAGCGTTAACGACTGAATTAAAGGTATTGGTGTTCGGAATCATTTTCTTAGTTAGACCATTTTCTATCATTCTAAAATTCAACAACAAATTGTTTCTATGTATCAGATTTTCAAACAAAATGGCGCCCTCAATGTGAATATATATAGGGAGATAATAAGAACGGCGAGTGCATTGTTGTACTTTGGGACTTCTTTGTTTATATAGAAAAAGTTTCGATAGTGTTAGAATGTCAAATAGTATCTTGTCGAAATGTGGTAATGACCTGTTTAAAGTATTTTTTAAGATGTGTAGGAGAAGTGTGTTCATGTCAAAATTTGGTATTTTCTTGTTATGTCTAACAATTGTGTTATTTTGTCTAAATTGTGTTCTGATTGAGAAAGCGCTGTCTGGTATTGACAATCTGTCCCGTTATCTTCTTTAAAAGCGGTGTTTACTTGTCCAAATCATGTCTTATTATGTTAAACTTTCTTTTTATTTTGTGTAATCTCGGGTTTGACTTGACAATTCAGTCTTATGCCATGGTCAAAAATAAAATGACCGCCGCCCGATTTAACAATTTTTACAAAATCGGTGGTTTTGACGGGCCGATTTGAAATCTGATACCTTGCGTGGTCATGAATGAAGCTGTCACCGGGCGATATTTTGCCGAATTGATGGATGTAACAGACTGCATTAAAAGACCCGATATCCGGACGGCGTCTGTGCGATTAATAAATGGATCGGACGGTCGCCGCGTGGGCGCCGGGCGGTAAACGCTTGGCATTTTTTATATTCCTTTAAAATTAGTCAGTGGTCAATATGCCAGCAAAGAAGGCAGTTGATAGAGACAAGATTAAGACCAAGCAGAAAATGCAACAAATGTAGTTTGCCTTAATTCTAATCTGCGAAGACGTTCTTGCTCGACAATAAAGTTCATGTTTAAATCCCAAAGAATTCTTAGATGCATTTTTAGGAAACTAGAAACAATCTCAAGCCGTAATAACAACAAACTCAAGCTGTACAACAAAACGGTGACAGCCCGTTGCCTGTGCATGTATCGTCCACGTATCGGGCGATACTCGGTCGCCAATTGGTGTCTATTCGGGCGCCGGTCGATATCCGTCCGGGTGCCTATAAAATCGGACGGTGTTTTTGTATCAAAAACAATCGTCCGATCTAAAAATATATCGCCCGGGCGCCGTCCCGCGACCCTCCGATCACTGCCAGATGACTTTTTCAACTCACTGACCCCAAAAATTAAGGTGCGGCCGCCTTAAGCTATTAAGTAGTACTTAAAACACGACGGCGCCCACCTGATGACCAACATTTTCAGCTGCTTCTGTCCGATTGTCACGGCCGCCGGACGGACATCGGCCGATATTACGATTTTTTGGAAAAATAGACGCCGCCCGGTGGCAGTTTGTCATTTGTGACTTAGATATTATTATGTGAAATAATTTTGGATTTTGCTTAATTTCAATACACAATGTTATTTTTAGGTTATAGGTTATAAACAGAGTTTTACGAGAGAGCAAAGTGAAGGCTGTCTTTAAACTCTGTATTTAACCTATAACCTACCTACAGATAGCCCCGCCCATTCAAATCGAGTGCATTATGTAAATAGGCGGAGTCCATAAAATTGGCTCATTTAACGTATAAATTTAATACATACAGTTGAGTTACAGCACAATTGTAAATATTTCGGCAAACCTTAAACAAAATAGAGCGATTTCATTGGCAGATAAACTTTGGCGAACTGTAACATGTCATCCAACCAACACTTGCAAAAATAAGACAGCAATATGCTCTTAATTTTATTCGGATTCAAAGCAGATGAGTTTAATATGGTTTTGAATAAGATGCATGATTTACTGCGGAATAACACGATTTTTTTGTGAGTCGTCAGTAAAAATACAAGTACATAACACAATCACATACATCAGCTTTACACTTAATGACCAATTCTAAATTTCGAAATATGCTGCAAACATTTCGTTTTTACATTTTCTTCAAATGGAAAGACAAATCCCCGTAAACAAATTATGGACATATAAACTGTATGTAGTTTACCGAGATTTAATATCGTGGAACCAGGCTAGAAATAAATCATGCGTAAACACGGCGTCTTCACCTAAAAAGTGTTTCGCATCTGGACAAAACGCATCGATGGAAGAGCTTTTGCATTGCATTGTCATTAAAAATCTGAATTTTTAATTTATCTATTTGTTGACTATTAGAAACTAAGAGACAAGTTCGTTTTAAAAAACATCTTTTAAAATTTTGAATTTTTGTTTAGAGATGATTTGGATTGTGCTTTACTGATATGGTTCTAATTCAAAAACTACTTTATTGAGAAAATAGACTGTCTTTAGGCAAGAAAACTCTGAGTTTGAATTCAGGTCAGTGTGACAAATTATGACAGTGTTTAGATAAGTCAATACCACACTTGGACAATAAAAAATGACAGTAAAACATAATACAGCGTTAAAACAAACTAGGCTCACAAAATGACACTTATGTTTGCCAAATTTAGAAGTGTTCAGATAATTCAACACCACATTTAAAGAAGACTGTGTTTAGACATGTTAAAATC